CCGTTACAAATTCGGATGGCACCCAGGCTAATCTATCATTGCAGTGGTTTGATTAAAAGTTCAAAATTTATACTTTAAATTTTAACCCAGCCTTTTGTGTTGACTTCATGGCTCATTTTGTAGCATTTAAGCCTATAATAGGATGCCTAGACCTGTTTTTATTTTATTTTTTTTCGCCCTGTCGCTTCATATTTTTTCTGAAAAATCCGAGAACCAACAAATTAAATTGGTGTGGCCTTACATACATGTACTGTACAGTATATTATATTATATTATATTATATTATATTATATTATATTATACGAAACATTTATCCTTTTTGTTGTAACACACTGTGGAAAAATCTGTGCACATAACGGGATGCATTTTTTTCTAAAATATTTTCTTGATTTTTGGACTTTAGGTCACACCAATTTAATTTGTTGGTTCTCGGATTTTTTCAGAAAAAATATGAAGTGACAGGACGGATAAAATCAAAAACAAAAACATGTCTGGGCATCCTATTATAGCCCCAAAAAAAACAGAATCGTTTTTTTTTCTGCAAATCAGAAAAAATGATGAGGCGAATCCGAGAACCAATAATTCAATTGGTGTGACCTTAAGCAAAAATTGAATAGAACAAGATGTAATATAATAAATTGGGCTAAGCCATATACGACATATTGCATCGGACAACCTGAAACTTTGTGTACCGCGAGGTGCTGTTTCTGACTCAGTGTGCTGGGTTCTTTAACGTACAGACGATTAACTTTAAAGCTATATTATGTAAGATTTTCACTATTTCACTACATATCAACATTGTTGTTCTTGCGCTATAAGCCTACCTGGGTTCATAATGGCATTTGGGAGTAAAAGATCAACGTCGTTGCACCGCAAAAACGTGTTGGAGCTGCCGAAACGAAGATACCCAAAGAAAAACCGCTGTTTGTTTACATTCTTTTTAGGAGCCTCCTAAAAATACAGCGGGCCTGGCGCAACTTATTCTCGCGCTGCGCTGAGTTGCCGGAAAAGCGAAATATCGACGCTAATATGTTGAAAGTTATTGAAAATGACAATCTAGAGGAGAAATTTTCAATTATTTATATTAACAGTTTGGCCGCAAAAATCTTACATGATATCGCTTTAAAGGCATCCTATGCAATTTTAGGGCGGCAAAACTGGAAATATTCTGAAATCAGCAATCTGTATGATATTGACACATACTGTCCCACATTAGCACATTTGAATCAGTATTTCGTACTTAAGGTATTTAAAACTGCAGAAACAAGCCCCAAGATTAGTCCTTTATTTTTTTAGTGGTACCCTAAAAATCCAGGGCTTTCGCGAATTCCAATAACCGTTTTCGTCAGAATTTGGGACATTTTTGCTCCATGAATGTCGATATACATTGGGACAGTGTTGTTTTAAGTATGTAGATAAATGACTAGAATATTGACTTTGAAAAATCTGATTTCCAAGGCCTAAAACTAAAAGCTACACTGGATTCCTTTAACGTACAGAGGAATAAGTTTAACGCCTGAGTTTCTCCTGTCCAGTTTCTTGCATGCTCCGTCCCTTGGTCTCTATGGGAAGCAGCAAACTGGCACCAGCAGCCAGTAGACAGATGCTCCCGTACACCGATACAGTCAGGTGCACCGAGTACTTCAACATCACCTGGAACAAACAGTAGTTTCGGATATTATACAATACAAAGGTTTAAAGCGATGTATTTACTAGCGATATGAGCACTCAGGACTTGACTACTGTTTACACTATAGCATCTAAGATGTAAACATGCTGTAGTGTATTTACCAATTTGAGTTATTTGACACACTGTAAGGATTGTTTACTCCTGAAGTTATCTATTGAATGTATTCTATTCATCTGTAGAATAAATGAAAACAAATTTAAAGTATAATTACCATGAGAGCCTTTTGTAGAGTTCATTACCATATATATGATACACTGATGTAGGAAAGTGACGGTCATTTTCAATCACATAGATGTAATGTGGGGTCATGTGTATTAACGGCAGAGTGGTCGACTCCGAAGCAAGAGGTCCCGAGTTCGAGTCCCGACATGCCACTGATCTTGCGCCCTTGGGAAAGGCACTTAACACGACTTTCCTCACTTAACTCAAGTGAAAATGGGTACTAGCATTGTCCTGTTCTGTATTTGTCCTCTGTGTCAGTGGAGACATAAATAAGTTGATATAACATGAGTGTGCCGTCACCATGTCTTGTCATGGCATGTTGGAATAAAAAAAAATGTAATTCGGAATACCTGTGCGACGAAAGGTGTGAGAATGACTCCCACTCTTGCTACAGCACTGCACGTGCCTGTTCCCAGAGCCCTTGTGGTGGTAGGATACACCTGAAATGATGCCAACGAAAACAGTGATTATTTTGACGACATAATTGAGAGTTACAAATTAAGGGAGGTAGATCAGACGTCGGCTTTAGGAATCACAAGAAAATTATTCTACACGATCCATGCAGTTGTATGTATACATTGCACTGGCCTTGCAATTGCGGTACCAGACGCCAGAGTCGACGAATGGCGACTCACAGCGGTACTGCAACAACGGCATCAAATCGAAAACCAGTTTTACTACGATTCTTTGCGATACAAACCACAATTTACACAAAGAAAACTTCAGTATGTGTGTTCATTATTGTCTCTTACCTCTGGCGTGTAGACATAAGGCAGCTGGGAACCGCCGGATATAAAAGCTCGAGCTACAAAGATGAAGACAGTCAACCATGTCCTGTGTAGTACAGAAGAAAAACAAGTAAAATCTGAGATTTTATACCTCCGGGCTTTTTATTGTATATTTTTATATAGGGTTTAAAACAAATAATTTATCGAGACCGGACACCCCTCTGTGTGAGGGGTCATTTACGTGGACCAGACCGAGAATAGCTTAAACACGCCAAAGGTCAACGGTCGCGACCACTTTCACGCTCAAAGGGGTGTTTTGGGGCCCACCAAAAGGTACCATTTTCACGCCCGAAAACACATATATAATAAAAACAAAAGAACGTGCATCATCTACAGCCCAATAGCAAAACATATACCGAGTCTCAAAAGAATCCGTCCAGCCAAACGCGAGAAATAGCTGCGAACATGAAAATCTAAATCTCTCACAAAACCCTTCCGCGGAAGGATGTCTCCTCCCCCGGAGGTAATAAGATCACAAAAAGGTATCAAATTTACCTCAAATTCATAGTTAAATGCGTTAAACCTGCTTTTATTATAATAGTAACAGTTAGCAAGTCCAAATATTGGTCTATCTTACTTGCTTTACGACATCTCATAACGTAAAATACTTGTTTACCTTTTCGTTTCTTTATTTGTTTGTCAGTACGAGATAAACAATCCCTATGCCAGAGAGACGGCAAAGTTCCATACCTTCCCGCACACGTGAGAAGCAGAAAAGTAAAAATAGAAAATCCTGCGAACGCCACGGCCATGGTGGGTTTTCTGGGCAGACAGGCCAGAATCAGCATCACCAGCAATGTGCCTGGAAAAAAGTGTGATATGTGCACTTTATATATTAACCTTGATGTAAGAGTGTAACTTAAAAGACAACAAAACACGTAGAAGTAACAAAATAAACTTGAAGTTTATCCATGAAGTTCTTTTGAAATACTGACGAGGTTTTTGGTTGCTCATTGGTCGCCAACTCAGTGGATAGAGATTAAGTAGAAACACAGAAAAAAAAGACCCACAGAACAAGCTCGACCGACACATCTACTTATATATTACTAATTTAGACTAGTACTACCCATTTTGGTCATCCTCCTGAAGTTATAAATACAGACCTGGTAGCTCAGCTAGTGTTGTGATGAATATGTTCTGGTAGGCGTCGCCTGAGAGCTTTTTGCAGGCCGCATAGCATGAGACCTGATTCTGATCCTGACTGGCCTCTGAAAGATGAAAAATTATAAAGTCAACGTAACCGATGCAACTGACAAGTACAGGGGTGCCAGAGTATACAGTGCAATTTTAAGTAATACAGTGCAATCATATTAGTATATAGTGCAATTTTACGGAATACAGTACAATCGTGTTAGTATACAGTAGAATTTCACTCTAATACGATCGCATTGTATTCCATAAAATTGCACTGTACGTATACTAATACGATTGTACTGTATGCCGTAAAATTGCACTGTATTCCGTAAAATTGCACCGTATTACGTAAACTTGCACTGTATACTCTGGCACCCCTGTATTTAAGTATTAAAAAGTATTAAAAAAGGAGATTTCAGACTTCCAGGAAATACAAGTTCACAGACCTCCGGAAATAGTTTGATTTTTAATTTCGCGCATGTATTTAAACAGTTCTATAATGTAATTAGGTATTACACAAATTCCTGGCTTTCGGCAAATTACGTAATTAGTATAGATATATTGGGGTTTTCTTCTTTCTAAAAACGTTTTCAGTGCTTCTAGATTCGAACGAAAATTGAATTAGTTAAAAAGAATTACCGCAAAAGTTTCCGTCTGCTTGGTATAACTCTGTTGTCATCAACGCGATGCCGTAGTAGCACATCATGATTGCTGTCCTGGAAAAACATATGTTTGTTTATTTTTTTATCTATTTTATCTATTAATCAACATTAAATCAACGCTGGTGATAAACTCTCGCTTTTATTAAGGTCACTACTGGGAAATTGAAAAAAAAATAAAACTAACGATGAAAAATACAAGTACAAGTTCACTACAAGAACGTCAATGTTAGCTGAAAACACACTAGTTCACTAATCATTCCTCTACACATGACCCTTACAGGAGACACTAAAATATTGCTAAACATGGGTTACCATATACAACTAGAAAGGTAACATTTGCAAAGCAAATGCATAATGTTTACCTTCGCATACGGTGTGCTCTGTTAATTCTTACACATTTATTTATTTGGTCAGACAGGAGTCTAAATCCCTCCTGCTATAAAATTGCAACATGATGTAACCCACCACTAGTTACCATGGTGACAGACGGCTGGTTCAGGTCATTGACCTTGTTGGTTTGGAGAAGAAGAAGAGGAGGAAACAGAGCAAAAACAATGGGTTTTCTTTTGGAAAACATAATTATAGAGTGAACTAGTGAATAAATGTGTACCATATAAACCACAGAAGAACAGTCGTCAGTCGAAACTCCCTGGTGAACAAGTCTCTGAATTGTCCTCGCTTTTCCTGCATTCAAGAAATAAACAAGAGTGGGTTACGAACCCGTGCTACGACAGTAATCTTGTTGCTTTAAAAGTCCAGGCTCTTATTCATGATCATTTGTATCCTTTAGGCCCCCCTTCCACAAGACCCATTCCCTAAAGGCTGTCTCGAAAAATGAAGCCAAGCTCCAAAGTAATGTAGGTAGAAACATCATCTATAGACTAAACATTTTTACCTCCGGGGGAGGAGACATCCTTCCGCGGAAGGGTTTTGCGAGAGATTTAGATTTTCATGTTCGCAGCTGTTTCTCGCGTTTGGGTGGACAGATTCTTTTGAGACTCGGTATATGTGTTGCTATTGGGCTGTAGATAATGCACGTTCTTTTGTTTTTATTGTATATGTGTTTTCGGGCGTGAAAATGGTGCCTTATGGTGGCCCCAGAACACCCCTTTGATCGTGAAAGTGGTCGCGACCGTTGACCTTTGGTGTGTATTAGGTATTGTCGGTCTCGTCCACAAAGGTGACCCCTCGCACAGAGGGGTGTCCGGTCTCGATAAAATCTTTGTTTAAAACCCTAGTCCTGCGGCGCGCAACAATTGTTGTTGTAAACAACATATAAAAATATACAATAAAAAGCCCGGAGGTATAAAATCTCAGATTTTACATGTTCACCTCTTCAATACACCGTGTGCTACCTTGCTATTACTAGTCCCTTCTAGCACGAGATTGTAGTTGATAAATTATAATATAGAAATAGGTAATTATCATTCTTTGATCCCTACCGTAATGACGAGAGCCACAAGTTTTCCCGGGGGCAAGGATGACTTGTTTTCTCGCGCAATCCTCTGAAGTGTCTCTCGTGCCTTCTCCAACTGTCCGCTAGCTACATGGTACCGAACACTCTCTGGTATCCACTGTAGTGAGGAATAAAAAGTTAGGAGGAAGTATACCAGTGCACAACTTGTATTTCACTTGAGGGTATAGTATAACGCTTTCTTCACGTTGCAACGCCACCATGCGACAAAGATTAGAAGTTCAGATACTCTGAATCGGACAACATGTGGTAGAGCTAAGTTCAATCGCTCTCTATAATGTTATTTACAGACGCAAATAAACCTTCATGATGATTATGCAATAAAATACACACTGATATGAAGGCATCTTTGCATAGTTCTCAGATGTTCAACTAGAAATCAGAAATTTCAGACTTCCGAAGTAGTTTGGGTTTTTGATGCCTTAAACTTCATCGCATTTTCTGTGCATGAATTTTACGTCTTGTTGTCATTCTGCCTGTCAATCTTCCACACCCACGAACTGTCAATCTACTCTCAAGTTCACCCCATTTTCTGTGTCTGACCTTTTCGACCTGTTGTCATTCTGTCAATCTTCCCCCACGTGCTGTCAACCTACAATATCCGGACAAACAGACACGCAAACTCACAGCTCAGTCACCCAAAACAATACTTCCACATTCGGAAGTATGAAGTTTCCTACCTTACAGCATATGGCGACAATCAGAGAGGGAATTGCAGTGAAGACGAGCAACCATCTCCATCCCAGAGTAGGCAGGACGGCTACAGCCAACCCGACTTCAAGACAACTTCCGGCCGCCCAGAACATCTGGGGAAAGGAAATATGATCTCTAAATGATTGTTTAAACGTAGAAAAACATAGTATTTTCCCTAAGTAGATTCCTATTCATAAGGACCACAAGGAGTCTCGTTTAGACGCGGTAAAAAGTATAGTAGGGCGCAGTATAGGATACAGTATGAGATCAATTTGACGACATTTTCGAAGACCTGGTTGCTAACTTTATTAGACTAAGGCCTTAGGTGAGATGGCACTGTGTTTTGCAGACTATTCCAGGCCCTAAAATATACTGCACCCTCCCGAAAAAAGTTTCATCGTGTTGGTTAAGTACAGGATACTGGAGTTTTCTTTTACACAACCACAATTTCTCACCTAAGTGCTGACGTGTCGGTGTCTATCAGACACCTTCCTCAGAGCTTCTGACAAACTCAGCCACGTTTGGGATTGTACATGTGTTCTCGCCGCAAAATCGCCACCTACACCGGCTATATATAGCGCGAGAAGCATAGCCTGGATGCCAGACCCAAAGCACACTGGACACAAAATATCTCAGTGTGCAAGGCTACGGGAAGCAGAACTCCAGTCAGAAGCTCTGGGGAAGGTGTCTGATAGACAACTCCCCGTAGCGGTAATTTAGACGGGCGGGCGAAGGGCTTCTGGCTGCCGAAGGTAAAGTGTTCTGAGCTGCTCGATACTAGTCTGGCATCCAGGCTAGGGTAGCGTAACCAGTGTTAAAACGAAAAACTTACCATCAGAAACAATACACACTGTCCTCTTTGTCTTCTTGGGAGAAATTCCACACATAGTGTCACCCTGTGTGTATACACACCAATGTTCAGAATGTTAACATTGCATGAATGTTTTCTTTGTTTCAAAAAGTTCTAAATGGTTCTTATCCATATATAACATTCCCTTTAATTATCTCAATAATTTTGTTTCGTTAAAGCAACTGGTATAATAAGCATGTCATTCTCACAAATGAAATATATATCGCATATTATACGTACATGTATCATATATCAACGAATCTGTTAGATTTTTCAAAACTCTGCCATTCTGTTTTGAATGTGTATATGTGAAACAAATGTCATAACCTTAAGAAGTTCGGGTTTTTATGTTTACCGAAGGAAAACATATTGATTTTGCTCTGTTTCTTCTTCTCCAAACAAATAAGGTCAATGACCTAAACCAGACGTCTGCCACCATGGTAACTAGTGTTGGGTTACATAATGTTGCAATTTTATAGCAGGAGGGATTTAGACTCCTGTCTGACCATATATATGAATGTGTTTGAGTAAGAATTAAAAGAGCAGACCATATGCAAAGGTAAACATTATGCATTTGCTTTGCAACTGTTACGTCTCTGATTTAATCTTTATTGTTAATTAAGAAACTTACAATACGGGAAATGCTGCAGTTCCAAATCCAACAAACATACGTAGCACGAGAAGCCAGTTGAAGGTGGGAGAAAATGCGCTAAGGACGCCGTAGAAGAAGAGCCATACAAATGCAGCTATCCCTCCCTGAAATAGAAAATACTTGTACATCATGACAACAACTAGGTTTTAGGACAAGTCATGTTGCAAAACTCTTTCCTTGTAGCTTGTGGAGTTAACCATACCAAAGTCCTATCTTGAAAGACAAGTTCATCTGTGTTGGTACTACTTGGAAGACGTCATAATGCAGTAAGTTTAATTTGTAATTTCCAACACAAAAAATGGACTGTATTTCGACTGTACAACTTCAGACGGGGGGCGCCACAGACTTCCTGCAACTTACGATCCACTGCTAACCGAGTGACATGTGTCATTTGCATAACGTTACGTCACAAAGGCGGTGGATTTCTCATTCTTTGATACAAAGACTGGAGTTGTACAGTCGAAAATTTGGGTAAGGCTATTTCTTCGTGTTTGGAAATTACTAGTATAGTTTAAACTTACTGCATGATACCAAAGTGTCTGTACTATTCTTGTGAAAATCTAAGTTTCTATGAACTTTAATGCAACTAACCGTCCTCCTGCCATATTTATCGCAGAATTTTCCCCACAGAAAAGAGCCGATCATCATTCCAATGAAAACTGCGGTGGAGAGGGAGGCTTGTTGCCAGCTGCTGAGGCGCCATTCACAGTTTAGCTCTGACGACAGGACAGTAATAATCATGACTGCCATTGCAATCGCCACCTGGAAAGAATATCGATATTATCATTATCACATTTGATACGCCTGAACCTCTGCTATTATTACTGTACATTATTTGACTAGACAATTCATTTGTTTTTAAAGAAAATATAATATTGATATTTCCTTTCAACACAAAATTCTCAACAGACGATTGATACAAATTATCAGTTAGTCCTGTTTTCATGCATTTTTCTCGTATTCGATTCGTGAAACATCCTTGTATCTTTCAAAAATTTGAAAACTTTTAGAAGAAGAATTTCGATTTTGAAATCTGAAATGTATTCTAAACAACACTTATAGGAATGAAAACTTTGGTCTGAAGGATTCGAAATTGTACCACCAAAGATTTTATACAGATATAGTAGTCGTATAAGCGAAAACGAAGACCAGTACTCCTCGGTAGTGATACTCACATATCCTACCCCACACAGCAGATACAGTTTGATCTGAAACCTGCCGAACCCCAACTTCTCCACTGCGTCCTCTACCGTGAATGTGTCTAGAATGTAGGGATAGTCGAAAATAGGGGTTTTGTTGTTAGAAAGTAGTTAACTACAATCATAGAAATTAGTTACATCCAACTTGTGACACGTCATTCTGTCCTCATTTGCAAATATACAGAAACTTTATTCGCAAAATCATGCCCGAAGACTAATTGCTTTTACAATCAAGTATAATACTCATTACATAGTAACAGGTAACAACTGTCTGGGAAAAAACTTCTGCTTCTACTACTACGCTAGCTATTGTGGGGTTCGACTTCTTCTTTGAAGGCAGTGGATAATGAATAATCCCACATTCTGCATAATTAGTGGGTTTTGTGATCTTAGTAGAAATGCAGTTTTTGGTGATCTTCTAAATGACGAAAGGATGGAGAAATTGTTGTAACTGTCTGAAATAATCTGTTTCTTTCGGTCTCATATAAACAAACATCAAACTGTAAACATTCCTACATCATGTGTTCTAAACCACGTTATTTCCTCTGCTAACTTGTGTTTCCGCAAAAACATTTCTGCTATTGTTCAGTAATTCCTGAAGAAGGTAGCCGAAAGTTTGTTCGAAAGTTTGCAGAGAAAACCAAATGGTTGTGCAGTACTATGATGCCCAATGTACTTAGTAACCAACCCGATGAAACTATTCACGAATAGAATCTAGAAAATTACCTGTTGTTTGACCCTTTCGGTGTCCCGTGGCTGTCAGTGGAATTTTCTCTGGGTCCTTACGCTGTATCGCCGACTTCAAAGATCTCATCATTACAGTGGTACAATATTTACGATACAATGTCTAGTAGTAAATATTGTGTGGACCTGTGGGTGGAACGAAGGAAGGAACGTGAGATACAGACCACACGTCTCTGAGATTAATGTATGCAAGACAATTCATATGATAAAATGCTCACTGACACGTAACGATGTGGTCTTTCCTGTTTTGCAGGTTTTTAACGAGATAGAACAAGGAGGGTAGAAAAAAAACGTTTTTATCTTTCTCAGATGGAATTGTGTGACAAAACATCAGAACAACATTATGGTGAATTTATGGAACTTTTTGGGGGGTCCTTACGCTGTTGCGTTGACTTAAAATACCTAATCATTGCAATGCTACGATATTTAGGATATAAGAGTGAAGAATAGGTGAAGCTGCGGGTGTAACGAAGGAGGCAGAACAAAACACAGAACAGACGTCTCTGGAGCTCTGTTTAAATGCTCACTGAGCTTCCGAATAACTTTTTTATGCTGTTTTATTGTTTGCAGATGTATAATTATAACCAGACAACAAAAAACACATTGATGTCCTCCCTTGTGTCATGTTATATCATATCATATCATATCATATCATTGAGAGAACTTATAAGGCCAGAGATACCATTTCTAACGATATCATAGCGATAGAAGAATAGATAGCCATGATTTTGATGTTTTCTCACGTCCCAGAAGTGATATAAAAGTGACAATGACACGTCAGCGCAGAGGCGAGCAGGACACGTCACAAACAACGTCCCAAAAAATAAGTTTATGATCCTACAAACCTACTGGGAGGGTCGAGGTCATCAGTTAGTCTTACGCTGAGCATTAGTAGTCTCTACCAGACTAACTACACTGACTATATATAGAAGAAAATATTTGCCAGGGAAGTTTGGCCAACTTGCGGTTTGACTGGCCGCGCAGTTAGGAAAGAAACAACCTTCCGCGGCCGGACTCCCCTGGCCAATTTTACTCTCCTTATTGTCGAATTCTACTATCCGTGTTCCCATAGAAAGGCCTGGTGGAGGCTAGAGAATTAGGGCGCCCCAGGGGAACTGTCTGTAGCCGCCGCTAATGTAATAATAAGTAGGAAGGTAACATTTGCAAAACAAATGCATAAGGTTTACCCTCGCATATGGTCTGTTCTGTTAATTTTTACTCAAATACATTCATATATATATACAGTATGGTGACGGCAGTCTAAATCCCTCCTGCTATAAATTGCAACATGTGTAACCCGACACTAGTTACCACGGCGACAGATGTCTGGTTCAGGTCATTGACTTTATTTGTTTGGAGAAGAAGAGGAAGACGAAAAAGAGCAAAACAATATGTTTTCGCACGGTAAACAAATTTGTACATTTCTCTCCGATACTCACCGATGAGTACTATAATAATTCTCCGTTTTCGCTTACGACCACTATATCTGGCAATGTTGTCTACTTTTCTGGTGATACAATTTCGAATCCTTCAGACCAAAGTTTTCATTCCTAGAAGTGTTGTTTAGAATACCGTGATTTCAGATTTCAAAATCAAAATTCTTCTTCTAAAAGTTTTCAAAGATACAAGTTATCTGTGGATGTTTCACGAATCGAATACAAGAAAAATGCATGAAAACAGGACTAACTGATAATTTGTATCAATCGTCTGTTGAGAATTTTGTATTGAATGGAAATATCAATATTTTATTTCTTTAAAAACAAATGAATTGTCTAGTCAAATAATGTACAGTAATAATAGCAGAGGTTCAGGCGTATCAAATATGATAATGATAATATCGATATTCTTTCCAGGTGGCAATTGCAATGGCAGTCATGATTATTACGGTCAGTAAAGTGAGGAAAACCAGCGTTCTCTATGAAGCTGGTGTCATAAGGCTTGCCACTGCTCGCATTTTCAGCCACGGAAGCACCCCTACAAGTGTGTTGGGTTCTTTAACGTACAAAGTTTAACGTTAACTTTATCGCCTGAGTTTCTCCTGTCCAGTTTCTTGCATGCTCCGTCCCTTGGTCTCTATGGGAAGCAGCAAACTGGCACCAGCAGCCAGTAGACAGATGCTCCCGTACACCGATACAGTCAGGTGCACCGAGTACTTCAACATTACCTGGAACAAACAGTAGTCTCGGATATTATACAAATGTTTCAATTGTATTTACAAACTATATCAGTATATGGATACTAAGAGTTTGACTATCTTTAGCACTACAACATCTAAGACCTAAACATTTTCCAATGGATTTGCCTATTTGCACACTGTGACTGTACACACTTGTTTACTCCTGAAATATATCCATGTTCTTTTGTGCAAATGAAAACAAAGGAGAATTACTTTGATAATTTATCACCATAGTTCGAGCAATCCTTGGTAAAGTGACCGTGATTTTCAACCACATAGATGTAAGGCCACACCAAGTAAATTTTATGGATGACGTCCTTTGGAGACCCCAAATCAAATGCAAGAGGGCGAAAAAAAGGGCCCTAAAAACAAGAGGCCTATAGATCAGAAAAATACTAAGAGACGACAAATGTTAGGACACAAATTGAATGAGGTGACACAGTGTAACAAGCAAGAAGTCTTTTACTTATCATCAAAACAGCAATGAATCAGGTGGAACAGCAGTTGTCGTCCTGTCCTCATTTTTCGCGTTACGGGTTTCACGTCAATCTGACGATTTGCGACACTGTCGTGACTCTTTGGTCATAGTTACAGGAAGCGGAATTTCTTGTTTGTTTTTTTCTAGGAACAGGCCAAAATCAATGCGCGCGCGGACGTCATCCATAAAATTTACTTGTGGCCTAATTTAAAAATACGTGTACCTGCGCGACGAAAGGTGTGAGAATGACTCCCACGTTCGCTACAGCACTGCACGTGCCTATTCCCAGAGCCCTTGTCGTGGTAGGATACACCTGAAAAAAAATCGAAAATGTCAATCCTTTGCTTCACACACAAGACAATCTCTAATGCATGCTGGCTTCAAGCCGACACAGGAAATCGAAAAATAACTTGGGAATTTCGCTACGATTCTTTGCGATAGAAACCATAATTTACACAGAGAAACGTTCAACAGCCGGATTCTTTTCTTCTTCATTTAGGCCACACCAAGTAAATTTTATGGATGACGTCCGCGCGCGCATTGATTTTGGCCTGTTCCTAGAAAAAAAACACAAGAAATTCCGCTTCCTGTAACTATGACCAAAGAGTCACGACAGTGCTGCAAATCGATGGACGTGAAACCCGTAACGCGAAATGGGTAAAGAGCACATGCTTTGTTTCTGCAGGCCTGCAAAAATGTGATGAAAGAAACAGGACAGGACGACAACTGCTGTTCCACCTGATTTATTGCTGTTTTGATGATGAATAAAAGACTTCTTGCTTGTTAATCTGTGTCACCTCATTCAATTTGTGTCCCAACATTTGTCGTCTCTTAGTATATTTCTAATCTAGGCATCTTGTTTTTTAGGGCCCTTCTTGTTTATTTTTCGCCCTCTCGCATAATATAGGGTCTCCAAAGGACGTCATCCATAAAATTTACTTGGTGTGGCCTTAGGCAACTTACAAATGTATTTTGCCAAACCTTTTTTTTTTTTATTTTGTCACAGTCTACATCAGTTTCGGGCTTCGTCCAGATGATGCCATCCATATAATCAAATCAACATGGCCTTACCTCTGGTGTGTAGACATAAGGC